TTTGCAGGGGAAGCCATATGAGGCGAGACTGAGGGACCTGGGTCTTTTCAGCCTGGAGAAGAGGAGAGTCTGAGGGGATCTGTGGCGACATACAGGTATGTGAGGGGGTGTCACATGGAGGTGGGTAAAGACCTCTTCTCCCCTGCAGAGGAGGGCAGGATGCACTCCAATGGAGCAAAGCTCAGGGAGCCAAGGTTCCATTTTTAGATGCCAGGAAGCACTTCCTGACAAGTAGGACCTTGAGGGTATGGACTGGGCTTCCACGGGAGGTGGCTGAGGCCCCATCGGTGAGGGTGTTCAAGGTTAGGCTAGACATGCACGTGGTGGACATGTCATGAGCGGAGCTGGCTGGAGCCAGAGGTCAGACTAGATGGCCCAGGAGACCCCTTCTGACTCACTCTGTTTCTATGTTTCTATACAGAAGGGCAAATGTTCCTTTTTTCCTGTGGTGCTTTTCGGGATGCCCTGTAAGCTTTTTGCCAGGGTGCTAATGAGAGATGTTTATTTATTTATTTGGGTATTTTTATCCCATCCAATTATGTTGCACATCTCTGGATGGCTTACAAATCGAACTCCCAATAAATACACTTAAACCCATAATAATCCATGACTAAGCATATTTAAAATATTTAAACATTGAAATTATGGGAGAATAAAAAGGTCTTGACCTGGTGCTGAAAAGCATACAATGTTGGCGCCAGGCAGACCTCTCTGGGGAGCGCATTCCATAGCCGGGGCGCCACCGCAGAGAAGGCCCTCCTCCGAGTATTTCTGCAATGTGATGGTTTCAGATCCACTTGTGGATAGTGGGACACATTCATGGAAAGTGGCTATGGATCCCCAATTTGCCAGTGTTCACTCTCTTTTGGCCTCCAGACTGCATATTTTGTGTCTCTGGGGCCATCGCAACATTTACCCATCCGTGTCCTCCAACTCAATCCTTGTGGGAACTGGACAGCTCCCGTCTTGTTGGAAAGCTTTGTCCTGCATGGCTGCTCTTGCACTTCAGGATGGTCTTTTCTTCCTCTTCTCTTCGGTAAACATTGCTAATGTTTGGGATTGGGCAATGCCTGCATCGCCACCCACTGGATGCCCCGCTTCCGAAAGCGGATATCTGTGAAGGGGTCTCCCGTTAGCACTCATCTTCTCCCTGGCGTATTCCAGGAAGAAAGCGAAAAATACGGTAATCCTTCTTGTATGGTGTGCCAGCCTCAGCCAGAAGCAGGAAGTGACATGTTTGTTTAGTATTTGCAGTAGCCTAACGTGGAACCAAAACGGAACGCACGCTCATCCTCTACTTGAAAGCTAGTGATTCATATCCATGGAGAGGTCTATCTCCTTGCCCTGAAGGATTTTGAGTGGGATTAGTGCAGGGTTGCTTTTGGCACTGCTAAGTGGTCATGTGGCTATTTATGCACAGGCCTCCCAAAAGAGGAAATGCATCACTCTCTCGAGAAGCACACCGTTTTGCATCAAAGGGGCATTACAAGCAGGGGTGTTGATTTTCAGAGTAGATGTACACGGAGGAATAATGGCTCCTATTTGTAAAAGAAATGCAATATACCAAACTATAGCAGTGAAGACTATGGCCAAGTGACTTGGGTGCCTACTTAAGCTTTCTACTCTTTTATTTTTTTGGGGGGGGGGGGGCTCTTAAACCAGGTGTGAATGGGCCAAACCTCAAACAGAGGGCAATTTCAAAGAGATGAGGTCCCCCCACTGTGGGGGCTTCACTGTAAGTTCACCCTCCCTGTATGGCTGACGTCCCTCCTGTAACAATTCCCTTTTAGTCTTTCTCCTGGACGGAGGCATGACTCGAGACAGAGCGGAGTCAGGTTGTCACCTATGCCGCAAACCAAGTCGGACATTGCAGAGAGAAACCTGGCTCCAAACGGTTAAACGCTGGAAACCGATTTTTTAAAAGCCAAAGAAAAGATGAGCAGTCATGCAGCAAGCAGCAAAATTATCTGGAAATGCATAGAAAAGCAAACAGGGTATGCTAGGTTGAAACACGAGGAAGCAGATGTCACACACGTGCGCGCACAGCCCTGACTTTGTGCCCTGGGTCACTCAACACATGTGGCTCAGTTCTAAGAACCGGTGGCCCACCACACACCTCCGGTTCCAAGGAAAGACACTCCCAAGCCCACAGCACATCGTGGTGTGCCTGTGACTGGCTCCGGGATTCTGAGAACCTCTGGGCGAGGCGGCCATGTCCTGCCTAGAGGTCCCCTTTCTCCCTCTTCCTCAACTAATAGGTCCACTAATAGGTTTTCCTCTCCCCTTCTGAAGCCATCGAAGGCAGGTGTGGGGAGATGCTGAGCTCTATTCTTTGTTAGGACCTGACATGCACCTTGTAGGACTAAAGCCAAAATAGAGCCTTTGGAAGCATGTGCGTGGGACGCAGGCTTCTAGATGTAACGGACCAGGGACGTGTGAATCCAGATTCACGCAGTGCATTTGTTTTCCATATCAGGCCTGAGCTCACAGTCTGGTTCTGTGTGAAGCTGGTTTCCTGGCACCTCAGCAGCCTAATTTAGAGAAGTGTGGGCAGTCAGGGCTCAAAGCCCTTGCAGATCTGCTCCAAACATCCAAGAGATCAACTCGTAGGGTCCAATTTGCCTCCTGCCTGCCCAGGTCTAAAGCAGAACCCCTTCCCACCATGTCTGCTGACGGCAAATGCCATAAATTTGCTAGGCCCCACCTGGGGCTTTCTCACTCTGGTCTGTCCTGACTCTCCCGCTATTGAGCTAGTGGTTTTGTGAGGAAGGGAATCCGTCTGCTCTCTCTGTATTTTCCAGAACCTTTCCTATGTCTCTTCCCCCCTCTATGCTCCTAGGATGATGGGAGTTGTAATTCAGAACATCTCAAAGGAACCAGGCTGGGGAAGACTGATCTCTTTGCACTTCCCCGTCAGATACATCATTCCTTTCTTTAAAAATTACCTCCCACCTGGCCTAAAGTGAAAACTGGTCAGATGGATGCCAGAATAAAATCCATGCATGGTAGAGTGAAAAAGTCAACCCATCAAGTGTCACAGAAGTACAAAGGCTGTGATCCTATATTGACTTTACCGTGGGACCGAAGAGCTGACAGTGTCCGTTGTAAGAGGGCTTCTGCCGCACCATCCTGCTGTCCTTTAAAAGCACACTTCCACAGACTTTAGAGTATACAGAAATTAGCACATGGAAAAATTGTGCTGCTTTTTGCTTCTGTGTATCTAAGCCCAGCTGCCGGCACCACCCTCACTGGGCTTTCCTGGGAATGAGTGGCTGTGAACTCCAGCACTGGACTATGTGATGCTAGGCCCAAATCCAGGCAGTATACTTACACGGGAGTGAGCAACATGCAATGTAATGGCACATCCTCCCAAGTCACCTCCACAGATAGGATGGGTGAACTGGGCAGCGTCTGGGCTCCCAGCCCCACATTTTCCGTGCCCTCCAGCTTTTCAGGGAATTGCATGAATGGTCAAAACCATCCTGCCTCTTTCTAGTGGTGAAACTTTGCCAGATCATCACCACACAGGGTGACGTGGAGGGCCAGGAAATGCCCATTTGTGGCTGGTTGCCCAAATAGAGCTGGAGCCCTGGAGATCCCCGGAGGTGTTGTTGCCAGCCTACACCTTGCTTGCTCGGAGGGTGCCATGACCGTCTGGGCGCTCGTGTGGACCCCTCGGAGGAAGGGGGACGGAGAGCATGAGGAAACGGCAGGAGTGGCGGACAAAGAAGGTGCTGGAGGGAGAGAAAAAGAAAAGGTGGAAGAGAAGGTGAGGAGGGGAGAGAAGGGGGACGGAAGGAAGAGGCAAAGAGGTAGGGGAAGAAGCTGGACGGGGCGGGAAGGGGGCAGGAGAAAGCGGGGAATAGAGGAGAGAAAGGTAGAGGGGATGGATACATGAGTGAGAGAGGAAAAGGGAGGGTGAGAGAGGAGAAAGAAAGCGGGGAGAAGAGAAAAAGGCGTAGGGGAAGCCGTCCTGAGACGCTTGTTAAGGATGGGGTAAAAATAATGTAAATAAATACTAAATAAACAAAAATGAAGGGCGAGAGAACGGGGCAGGAGGAAGAGGGGAGGGGGAGAGTAAAAGGAGGAGGACGAGAGAGATGAAGGGAAGAGCTACGCAGGAGAGACAGAAAGAGAAGACGTGGGTAGAGCAAGAAGTGGGTAGATTGGAGAGCGCGGTGGTATATATGCCCTTGCACCCGCGCGCCCTTCCTCTCGCACGGGGACGCGCTTATACATCGGGGAGAGGGGGCCAGGGCTTCCGAGGAGGCCGAGCGCCTGGAGGGCCGAGGGTGGGGGGCTGTGCGCAGCGGACGGAGGATGAGCGTCGCGGAGACGCGCGGACGGACGCGCGGAAGGATGCTCGGCGCGGGGACGCGTGTCTCCCGCTCCGCTAAGACGGGGTACCCCCTCCCTGGAGCGGACGGGTGGGCGAGGCAGGGCAGCTCCTCGGGGGCGCCTCCCTGAGGGATCCGGTTGGGGGACGTGCGGAGGAGGAAGGTCGGCTCCTGTGAACGAAGTCTTGGCCCCGGAGGAGCCGTGGTCCGATGCAGCAGGGCCCGTCTCCTCTTCGAAAGGGTCGCTGCCCGCGCAGGGGTCGCACCTGCCCCTCCGCGCTCTCCCTCCCACTTCGCAGGAACTCCGAATTCTGTCCACATCGGCGCACCTGGAGGGAAAGTGGGGGACACCCCGCTCCCCCTCCACCTGTCTCATCATTCCCTGTGCCACGCGCGCCCTCCGGACCCTCCTCCCCATGCCTCTTAGGGGGTGGACTTTGGCCCAGAAGCTGACGTCAGGGGGAGGCTGACGTCACTGCCCGGGGGTGCTGCCGCCTCTGCCTTTACCTGCCGGCCCCTCCGGCCGCATCCCCAAAGAAACTCGAGACTCCGCGCGCGCGGCTGGCGGTTGCTGCAGGCGCAGCTTCTTTCTCTGCCCGCCCGCCCAGCACTCCTCTGCTGCGCCGCCGCCGCCCGGCCTCTCTCCCCGCCACCCCCGGCACCATGTCTGCTTTGGTGGAGACGGTGGGCTTCTTCCTGGCCACGGCCGGCTGGGCCATGCTGGCGGTGACGCTCTTCAACAGCTACTGGAGGGTCTCCAGCGTGTCTGGCAACGTGATCACCACCTCCACCATCTTCGAGAACCTCTGGCAGAGCTGCGCCACCGACTCCACCGGCGTCTACAACTGCTGGGAGTTCCAGTCCTTGCTCGAGCTGCCGGGTGAGTGGGGCGCCGGCGGGCGGGGAGCGCGACCTGCGCAGCGCGGAAGGCGCGCCCCTGGGGACCGTAGTCCCAGGGATGCGCCGGTGGCTCCCGGGTGGATGCAGAAGGACCGCCGCGGCGCTTTGAACGGGAGGCTGCGCTTGGCAGCTCGCGTAGCCGATCGAGCCTTTTTCTGTGGCCTTGCATTATTTTAAAGAAAACGAAATCCGTTCCCAGATGATGGACTCGGATGCTCCCCTCTGGTTCCGCGCCCCGCAGCGCACGGCGTTCCTTCGCGCAGGCTCCTTTGCCTAAAACCTGCGGGAAGCCCGCAAGCTCCCAGAAAATTGCACCTGTTGCTCTAACATCATCTCTGATGCAGGCACCTGTTTCTCGCTCGCTCGCTCGCTCGCTCGCTCTCTTTCTCTTCCCGTGCGCGCTTGCGCTTTCCACCCGCTTTCTGGCGCCTCTGGGCACCTCGGCATGATTTTTCCACCTTCCCCTGCTAGGCAATCGAGGGAACTAACCGGGATGAGCAATTGCCAGGTTGCTGGGCAAACCCACCGGTGCATAGTCCACCCCCCCCACGCACATCTGCACACAGCTGGCTCCTTTTCCCCTGCTCTGCTCTCCACTTGTTTCCTCTCCCTGGTTCTTGTGGAGAAGCAGTGCAATACCTTTTTCGGCAAACGAAGCAGACCAGCCTGGGGCTGGAGACGTTGACTGGATTCTGGGGGGCTGGCAGCTGTTTGGTGGGCAGATGAAGCCACTTTGCACGTGCCCAGAGGTGCTGTTGTGGAGATCTTCTTCAGCAAATACGTGGTCTGGGAAACAGTCTGGCGAGTCCTGCCCGGTGAACCCAAACTCTGTCCCTTGGAGAAAGTGTCAAGTCAGCAGCCCCTGGGTCCAGTGGAACAATCTATTCTGCTGCTTCATGTAACTGGCAGGAACTCTCCCGGGCTTAAATGGAATCAAGGGTCAGCCTGGGATTGTGACATGAACAGCTGGGTTCATCTCTGGGATATGCAAACTTGGAACAAGCATCCCTCTGAGCATACACAGGGTGATTTTTAAATCACAGAATATCAGTTGCTAGGTTTTTCATAGCATCTCAAGACTTTCTGTTATGCATTTCTGGTAAGGTTTAGCCCACTGTGCTCCCTTGCAATTTTAATAGCTGCGCTATGGGCAGAAATTCAACAGGTGCTGCTTCCTACAGCATAGCTCTACATTGCTCTGTAGACTTTACCTGTTGAATGTCAGGAGGCACAAGATACCGTGCTGGGAATTCTCTTTCACTTTCCAAGCCAAGCATGGTTCTGTGAACTTGCTTCCTAGGCTGTCTGGAAACAGAGATGCTTTGGTCGACATTTGTGCTGAATTGGCCCTTCAGCGCCATGAATTATGTGACATTATGGTGAAGTTCTTGGGCATGTGCAAAGCTCAAGTCTCCCATGACCTACACGTTGCTTGTTCCAAGCTGGACAAAGTACTCTCATCTCCGTGTGCGAATAAATAAATAAATAAATAAATACGTTTCGCGAGGAAGCGAGCAAAAATGGAAAACAGACCAGGGACGGAGTGCAAGCGCCTTCTTTCACTGCCCTGTAGGGGGCAGTGCTGAACCACACCGTGGTTGCCGATAGAAAGAGTAAGAAAACCCATAATCAGCCTGTTGGCCGCAACTCTGGCCCCACATGCCAAGGGGGTGTTTCTTGTGCCAGTCAGCATCCTGGTCGATTGTTTGCAGAAGCTTTCTGCTCATTGCAGAGCTTCAACAACCTCCTGGCACATGGACAGGGGTGGAGTGGCACCCTGAAATTGGCAGTCCATAGAGAAGCAGAGGTTGCCAGCTTTTCAGCCAGACTGTGTAGCTATGCCTTTAATCGTGGCTTGATGCAGCAGAAGCTTCCTATCCTCCAACATTTTTCATAGGAAAATGGGTATGGTTGTGATAGATCCCTGAAGAATGAATACACCTGTCCCGCAAACACACACAATCATTTCCTATTACTCAAAGTCCCGCCAGCTGAATCGAAGGAGTGCTTCTTCCAGCGTGAACCAAGCCACATGCTAAGTTCATTGTCTATAATTCTCCTCCAGGTCTCCACTCTCCTCCTCCTCTTCCGTCTTCTCTCAGGAAACTTGAGATCTCAAAGTTTTCTTCTTGCTGATTGAAGTTGTTTTCAGCTGCACACATGTCTCTCGGCCTGGTACAGGCATGCAATTTTGGTACTGTGTATTTCTATTTTTAGTCTTTGCAAACTGCCAACTGAACTTTGACTATTGACCAACGCTTTAACTCTGAAATAACCTCAGCCGCTCTTGAATTCCCTTTTGGGGTATGTGTGGGGAAGAGAAAGCGGTTGATGGCAGATGGCCCTATGAGTAGCAGAGAGAGGGGCAGGCCCGCAGCCCCCGCCTCCCCCCCCACTCTCTGGTTCCCCGGCGGGGTGAGGGGGGCGCATCTCTTACACAGTGGGAGGGGTCAGGAACAGAACGCTTGGTTGCCATCACTCACTCTGGTAACACTGCGAACTTTGAGTGCAGAGTTCTTAGTATATCACTGGAAAACCTTGATCTTTCAAGATGTGATTCAGCCTTCAAGGCGCAAAGCTCGGCTGCTTCAGTCTGCCCCGTGACAGGCCCCGCTACAAGCAGGATCCTTCGCGTTTCGTAAGAAGATAAGAAGGGCTGCCTCGGATCAGGCCAAATGTCCATGTCATCTGATAGTTTGTCCCTACAATGGCCAAGCAAACCCCCAAATGTCAGAGGCCCAAACCAAACAGAGGTGTGATTTAGCAACCCCCGCCCGTGTTCTCCCAGCAACTGGCATGCATCCATCCAGACTTGTAGCCTTCTCTTCCAGGAATTCATCTAGTCCCCTTTTAAGTCCATCCAAGGTGGCAAACCTTGTTCCATTTCGTGGTACAGCGTTCCCCGGTTTGGCTATGCGGTGGGCAGCGTTCTTCTTTGATCTATCCTGAACCTCCCACCACGCAGCTTCATGGGCTTGCCATGAATTCTAATATTCTAGGAGAAGGAGAAAAAAATATATTTTCCTATTGAATTTTCCCACACAACACATCATGAGGTCTATCTCGATGATGTTTTTCTCTCCTGTCCTGCAATGAGAACTTTTTTTCTAGGCTAAAAAGGCCCCAAACCACACACCCTTCCTCATTTCGCTCGTTTCGCTTGCCTTTTCCTACGTCTGCTCTTGCTCTGCAACACTTTGCTTGAGCCGCAACAACTGGAATTGTAGATACGGCATTCTAAATGTGGACACCTTATTTGCATTTGCATGTTCACTGGAAATAAAACATGTCCATCCCTCCAAAAGGTAGCGTCCTGCTGGAAAAAGCCGGAGCCCGACAATCTGCAGCTTGCAGAAATGCATGCCAACACAAATAGGAACGAAAAGTCAAGCCTGATTTACCAAGGACAGTGCCTGGAAAATAGGGAGCTTTCCCCTGGCAGATAAGGGATGCCACACTGGGTGGATGTTTCAGGGGAAGGTTTTCAAGGATATGTTGCTACTCCCTCTACTTCCACTGTTGAGAGGGGGACCCCTATTGTTATTTGGCATAGAATTTGGGAACAGTCCAGAGAGCTTCGGCTGTTGGTTCTTGGGTGTTACAGAAATTAAATAAATAGCTTGTATCACCCAAAAGGCAACATCCACTCACAAGTCAGTGGTATCTGCAGGCTTGGAAAGGCCTCATGCAAAATGTCTTTTAAAAATAAGTGTTTCGTGTGACCCCTCACCCCCCCAAAACACTGAGGACTAGGATGATGCTGACTGCTAGGGGGGTAGGAGACCGAAAAACCAGGGGGGAAATGGGAGCATCTTGGAAGACAGCACTGTCCTGCTTGCCTACTCACAAGTAAACCCTATTGCGGGTCTAGGATTGCTGCCGAAATCTAACGGGAGACCATGCCCAGCAACGTTTTGTTGTAGTTGGGACCCTTTGCTTCCCAGTCACGGCAGTTCAAGCCGTGATCTGAGGCACAGAAAGGTTGAAGGCAGCTGGTTGAAAGGTTGGCAGCCGTTGTCACTTGCTAATGGTTTGCTCAAGTGGATGCTTAGGCTCAGCCTATATATAAGTCAGCCCTTGTAACATAGACACACAGAAACAGAGCGAGTCAGAAGGGGGTCTCCTGAGCCATCTAGTCTGACCCCCGGCTCCAGCCAGCTCCGCTCACGACATGCCCACCATGCGCATGCCCGTGCGGAGAAGGGAAGAAGGGCAGGGCAGGTGGGAGCCAAGCAAGTCATATTTTACAACCCACATTTAAAACTTTTAGAAGGGGAATTATGTTTTACTGGGATGGGATGGGATGGGATGGGAGATGCTAGCCGTGGCCCACACTGGTCTCTCTGGGCGGGCAGCTCGAGCCGGAGGTGGAGAGCGAGGGCAAACCTGCCTGTTCTTCCTTGTTTATTTTCACTGTCATGGCTCCTCCAAGGAAAACACAATGGGGCTTTTCTTTTCCCTTCCACAAAGGGTTGCTGTTGACGCAGAAACTGATCTGGGAAGGGGACACGGATCCTTCCTGCAGCAAAGCACGAGACCGGCTGGCAGAGCCAAGACCTGGCCCGGAGAAGGGCTGGTCTGGGACCTTGGCCACGCCGCAAGGTTCCGGTGCCCCCCATCGAGGCAGGGCTTTGGGGCAGAGGGCCAGCGCGGTGCCTGTCAGAATCAACTGGACGGCTTCTGGAAGCAGCGGGGCTCAGTTACTGCAGTGTTCATCAAATGAAGCAAGACTCCTTATCAGCTAAATGGCGGGGAAAGTGGACTCTTCAGGCGATGAGGTCCAGAGTCTAAAGTACTCAGCTGCACCTCTGCAGGGCTTGGGCCTTTCTCCCTCCAGAAGCTGAATCTCTGTCTTCCTGTCCCTGCGTTGGGAACAGTCTTTTCCAACATGGTGCCCACCAGGCCTGTTGGACTACAGTCTCCATCATCCCCAGCCACCATGGCCAAGGAATAGAAACAGAGGAAGTTAGAAGGGATCTCCTGGGCCATCTAGTCTGACCCCCGGCTCCAGTCGACTCCACTCATGACATGCCTACCATACGCATGTCCAGCCTATCCTTGACACCCTCACCGATGGGGCCTCAACCGCCTCCCAGGGAAGCCCATTCCACACCTAGTGGTCCTAACCATCAGGGAGTACTTCCTGACATCCACTCTAAATCTTGGTTGCCTGAACTTTGCTCCACTGGAACATGTCCTGCCCTCCACTGCCGGGGAAAAATGGTCATGACACACCTCTGACTGGCACCCTCTCACATGCCTGCATGTCACTAACAGGTCCCCTCTGAGTCTCCTCCTCTTAAGGCTGAAAAGACCCAGTTCCCCCAGTCTCTCCTCATATGGCTTCCCCTGCAAACTGGCCACCAGCCTTGTGGCCCTTCGTTGCACTGATTCCAACCTGGCTATATCCCTCTTGTAATGAGGGGCCCAGAATTGAACACAACACTCCAGCTGTGGGTGCACCAGAGTCTTATAGAGTGGCAGTAATACCGCTCTCAATCTAGAAGCCACGCTTCTGGCTATGCATCCAAGGGTGGCGTTCACCCTCTTGGCCACCACGTCACACTGCTGGCTCCTGTTTAGCCTGCAGTCACCCAGCACCCCAAGATCCCTTTCAAAGTGCTGCTCTCCAGCCACTTCTCCCCTAACCTGTACTTATGACGCCCATTCCTGTGCCCCAAGTGCAAAAATAGCAATTGGGAGCAAAAAGGGGAACCCCTTTTTGGAGGGAATTCCCAGGGGACCTCCATCCCCCTCTCCACTGGTCACCACCTGCCTTATCCCAGAAGGGGACAACCTCTGAAGCAAAGACTCCGAGATGACCGGACCACACGGGCAGGCATCCATCCACCCAGCCCTGCTGGACTTTTAAAAGCAAGCTGTGTGTACCGGCATTTCGAGTTGTGCTTGAAAGTGGAAGCCAGTGAAGGTTCTCAAGGGCCAGCAAAGTGCGTTCTTCTTTGGGGTTCTTCTCTGGAACCAGCTGAAGTTCCAAAACAGTCTTCAGACGCAACCTCACGTGCCACGCGCAAGTGTAGGTCTGATGCGCACTGTCATTACCGGAGCATAGGTGACTCTAGCCAGGGGAATGCTTTTTCTATGAACCAAGTGCCCATTTGAGAGCCAGTGTGGTGCAGTGGTTAAGAGCATGCGACTGGGACTCCGACGATCTGGGTTCGAGTCCCTGCTCAGCCATGGAGCCAACTGGGTGACTTCGGGCCAGACTCTCAGCCCAACCTACCTCACAGGGTTGTTGTTGTGGGGTAAGACGGAGGAGGAGATGTAAGCTGCCTTGAGCCCTTTGCAGGAAAAAGGCAGGATATAAACCGAAAAATAAAATTTGCACCTGTGACTGTGATGGGGCAAATCTCTCAGGCCTGAACACAGCCCAGGTTGGCCCTCGCAGGAAACAACACGCAGCATTGCTTTGCATGGCCAGTCCCTGGCAAGGAGACATAGAAACAGAGCGAGTCAGAAGGGGCCTCCTGGGCCATCTAGTCTGATCCCCAGCTCCATGTCCACTCAGGACATACCTACCTTTTGTGCACAAAACTTCCATCTCTGCATGACTTTCAGCCAATGGAGATGTGCCAAAAAGAAAATCAAGAAGCGGGAAATAGAAGGGCATTTTAAGGCTCACCGGTTGTGCTTGTTTGCTTATGAGAAGCACAACGATGTTATCAATGTGGGTCAAACAGCTACCACTCATTAATCACAAAAGGTGAAGGGCATGTGTGGGCAAGAGACTGGTTCATTCTCATTGTTTATAACACCAGCTGGAAACAGTGTGGTGGGCCACAATTTCCTCTGCCCTGAAACACGCCCCAAATAGCATCCTCACTCCCAACCATAACTTAATTTTTCAAGATCCTTCTTGAAGGAGATCGGAAGACTGGCTACCCAAAGGAGGGCCTTCTCTGTGGTGGCACCCCGGCTGTGGAATTGGCTCCCAGGAGAAGGGTGCCCGGTGCCGGCAATTTTTTCATTTCGGAGCAAGGCGAAAACCTTTTCATTTCCCCAGCGTTTTAAATGTTAGTGTTGTTTTTAGTATTGATTTTATATTTTATGTGTGATGCTGTGCCCTGTTTATGTTTTTCACCACCCTGAGACACTGTAAAGGGCAGGATACAAAAATGTTAAATAAACAAATAAAAGTGAATAAAAGATCATAGACGGAGAGAATGGGTTCCTTGGACTTCCTGCTTTGGAGCTCCAAGTTTGGCCCAGTGGCTCCATGCACCTCAAAGCTTGTTTATTTATTTAAAACTTTTCTATACCGTTCCTTCCCAGATGTCCTGGGACGGTTTACGCCAGATTAATAAAACAGAATAAAAACAGAAATAAGAGTAACAGTTGCCCAGCATCCGATGTTAAAATATAAAACCACTAAATAAAACAGGTGAACAATCAAAATACTGGGAGAATAAAAAGATTTTTACCTGATGCTGAAAGGAAAGAAGTGTTGGTGCCAGGCGGACCTCTCTGGGGAGGATGTTCCACAGTCAGGGTGCCACCACAGAGAAGGCCCTCCTCCGGGTTGTCACCCTCTTTCAAGGATGGCTCCTGGAGCAGGTCCTCCGCCTCAGATCTCAAGGGCCGGGAGGGCACAGGGGAGAAGGTATCCCGGACCCAAGTTGTTTAGGGCTTTCTGGGTCATCACCAGCACCTTAAATTGGGTCCAGACTTCAATCGGCAGCCAGTGCAGGCGGTAAGATTAAGGCCGGGCCTAATTCCAGGGCTGAATTCTGGAGGATGCTGAAAACGCCGGCCGATTCCTGGGGTTCACGGCTCTCCCCTTTCCCTTCCAGCCTACCTGCAAGCGTCCCGGGCCCTCATGATCAGCGCCTTGGTGCTGGGCTTCCTGGGACTGTTGTGCGGCATGGTGGGACTGCAGTGCACCAAAGTGGCTGACGACAACCCCAACGCGAAGGTGAAGCTGGCCGTGCTCGGCGGATGCATGTTCGTCCTGGCAGGTAAGCGGACCTTCGAGGGACTCTTGTGGGAAGCAGCACGGGGGACGCAGCTGCCCGCTGGCTCAGTTGCCCGGTGCGTAGGCTCACTGGAGCGGTCCTCACCCAACCATGTGCAGCTCAGGTGGCCACCTGTTTCTACGTAACCGTCAAGCTGATTTGCAACATTTGAAAGGCTATCACAGGCTGTGCTGGTTTGGAAGCTATCCAAAGTGTACCCCATCAAAAGTCATTTTCAAGGGGAAAATGGACTTCGGTTGTGGTATGCCAGCTTCTGCCAAGAGCTCAGAGCTTGTGGCTCACCAAAGCTTTGTCTCCCTCTAGTGGCAGCTATTGGTACACGCACCTGCTTGCTTAAGCGAGGAAGGGTACTCCTTTCTGAATGCTCACTGGGATGCTTAATCGTTATCTCCCGACGGCTGCATAATTCTTTTTTAAAATTTTTATTTAAAACTGTTATACAGATATCCAGCCGTTCAGAGATGAACCATAATGGACAAGATAGAAGTAATAATATTATTAATAAATAATAAATAAAATAAATAAGATACATAGAAGAAAATACTGAATAGAAAAAAAAACTGGTATAAGAACCAATTAAAGTAAACAAAACAGACAAAACTGCCAATTCAAACAACTACAGCCTAGGTATTACGACCCCCAAAACTGACTCTATCTTCCCACGATCTATGAGCTTACAAAAAAGACATCCTTATTCTAAGATGGCCGCGTATTTCTTATCCTGACGAGCCTTTCTTTTTCTGTCTGTCCCGCTCAGGTATCTGCAGCATGGTGACGGTTTCGTGGTATGCCTTCAATATCACCCGCGATTTCTTTAACCCGCTCTTTGTCGGAACAAAGTAAGTTCACAAAGCAGCCTCTGATGAACCATAAGAGCTTTAACGATTTCGAATTAGCCGGGTGGAGGTGGGAACATACGTAGGATCTCCGTGCCTGGTTTGCCTTCCTTTTCTTCAAAGCCCCGTCCAATAAAATCGTAAATGTAACTGCAGCTCAACATGCTGTACTTGGTATGACTTGGGCATTAGGTGAAGCAATATCCACTTTTTCTCCTAGAAGCTTGCCCAGAATTTGTGGTCTGTTTGGGAGGTCGTCTGCCAGGTGTCCCTGTATTTGGAAGTTAGCCAAGATTTTTGGTGGAAGCACCCCGGTTATAGAACTCCATCCCCAGACAGATTTGGGAGGACCAAATCTTCCACATCTTTTATCTTTAGAAGAGTTTCTTTCTATTAAAAAAAAATCTTCAAGACTTTGGACAGCCACTGTGAAGTAGAGGTTCGCATGTTGTGGCAAGACTGGGGAGACCTTGAGATAGTTGCTCTTTACTCTCTGTCTCCAGCTAGCCTACCCTGTGAGGTTGTTGTGAATGGAAAAATGTGGTCGGGAATACCTTCGTTAACTTGGAGGAAAAGTGGGATAAGCATGAGATAACATGAGATTAGGAGAGATTCTTCAATAGATCGGACTGTATTTTGCCACTGTTATTCTTTTTATGGTGTTTTAGGCTGAAGGTAGATCTTTGCATCTATCCAGTTAAAATACTGAATATTGTCTAGAATAGAATAAAGTATAAATAACATATAGAGAGAATGGAAGGTAGATCAACAGAAGCTTTACTTAAATTGCTTACACTCTACATCTTAGCAACAGGGGACAGAAGGGACTGCGGCTGATCAAAACCAGTCCCTAACTTCCTTTGGCATTAAGACAAACTTCATTGCAATGTGTTGGATTATAGCTTCCAGCATCCACAGCCATTTTGCCAGGGAAGCTGGGAACTGTTGTCCAAAGCATCAGCAGGGCTGCTGGAAGTGTACTATAAGAAGGTGGAAGGTGGTGGAAGCGTACTATAACCAGAATAAAATGTATTCGGTAACCTAGAACTCACCTAGCTGCCCAAGCGGACTGGAGTTAACATTTATTGTCCTGTCTGGAAAAGAGGCAGTGAACTCTTGGCATTTTCTGTATATTAGATGTGAGAGTAATGGATTTTTAATTTGGGTGTAATGAGGCTTTGGTAAACCAGCTCCTGATTTGGCTGGCTTGGGAAGCTGATGCAGTCCTGTGGGGACAGAGAGGGTTAAAATACTCCCCTCCCAGACATTGATTCCTGCTGTACCAAAGTCGAATTTCCTTGGGATGGTTTCCAAAGTCTCTTCTTTGGCTGTCCAGGTATGAAATTGGACCGGCCCTCTACCTGGGCTGGAGCGCATCGTTGCTCGTGATCATTGGAGGCGGGTGCCTGTTTACCTCGTGTAGGACGCAGTTGTCGCAGGACAAGAGGTAAGGGCACTCTTGGATCCAGGCCCTTATTTTGGGGGAGGGGGAGGCTGGACCAGATGCCAGCGGTGCCCCCTTTTCACTCCGTAGGCCCATCTCCTTGTGGTTGCCACAGCTGCCCATTTGCTTGCCCAGCTCTCCGGACTCAGCCCCCGTCAAAGGGAGAGAGTGGAAGGGAGCGCAAGCAAAGAGGAACAGGGATGGCGGTTCTGGGGTTCTGCAGTGCATCCCAGTGGACACCCAACGATTCGTGCCCACCAAGGTTGAGAGAAGAACTTCATCCCCACCAGTTATGGGTGCAGAAGGTCTCTAAAGCAGGCAGTGCTTTTTTTGTAAGAACAAAGGTGCCGGAACTCATGAAATTATGAGTTACCTTTTGCACTTAGTCAATCACTGTACACACACCCACACATGTCGGTTGTGTAACATAACGGTCGCCGCCTGCAGTAAGCACTCAGCGCACGACCACACGACCAATCACAAACCGAGCAGCGCCACAAGCCAAGCAGCGCCATCACACGCAGCGCGGACGAAGTGCGCACGCATCGGATTCGACGCACGAGCAGCCGGCATGCACCGTTTTAATGATTTTGCCGCCGACCCGCTACACTCAACAGGGCAATTCAAATCCACGTGGACCAAACATCAGCTATTCAAAAGTTACTTTTAAAACTTGGAAAATCTGTCGAAAAGAGGTGCCGGAACTCTGTTCCGGTGCGTTCTATGACAAAAAAGGCACTGAAAATAGGGATGCAGAAGCTCTCTCAACCCAGGGCCAAATTCCATCTTGGAGAAGCTTTTGGAGGGACTGGAGGTAAAAGAGAAGACACAAAATGTCCCAAATCCCTGTGTTGTAGCTTACAGCTTTTATTCCAGGTGGGTATGCCTTGAGAGAGCACTTTGGCCTTTTAGAATGAGGCATGGAGGGAATTTCACAAAAGCCATGAAACGCACCAGATAACCTTGGGAAAGGCGGTGGGGCCAGATGGAGGGGGCGTGGCCAAGCAGGTCAATCCCCAAGGACCAGATCAGGGCTCCGTGAAGGCCAGAGGTTATCCCGATATAAAAGAGCAATCCGTTAGGGTGATCTTGTGCAAAAGGCGACAGACTGCTCTCACCTTTGGTGAGAAACTTGGGTGCTTAACTTCTGGAAAATTTGACTGTACAGACTTCACTGCCAGCAAGAAGTTGGCAAACGCCTGGAACATTAAAATATTTGGATGTAAGGAATTCCAGGGAGGCAGCGCAAAAGGTGCTGTCCGATGCAAATTTAAACAAGAAGGAGGGTTCCCAGTCCTCTGGGCCCTTTTCCTTGGGTCCTTTTCCTTCACCTTTTGTTCAGGGTGGAAGAAAAGGTACTTGTGCTTGATCAGACCCTAGACAGAGTGGAAGAAAGAAGTTTCCCACACGTCTTTTTCACTGAAGAGCCAACATGGAAAATCATTATCTAATTTACCATCCAATTAATAAAATGTGCAGCCCACTCCAGTTTCCTAGGTTACTTATCCGAGGATCATAGAATCATAGAATAGTAGAGTTGGAAGGGGCCATGAAGGCCATCGAGTCCAACCCCTGACTGTTGAAAGACACCACGTTACACCAACCCACTCAGATGGCTGGCCAGTTTCTGTTTGAATGTCTCCAGTGTGGGAGAGCCCACCACCTCTCCAGGCAGCTGGTTCCACTGTCATATTGCTCTGACAGCGAGGAAGCTTTTCCTGATGTCCAGCCTGAATCTGGGTTGCTGCAACTTGAATTGATCATTCCGTGTCCTACGTTCTGGCATTAGCAAGAAGAGATCTTGACCTTCCCCTTTGTGACAGCCTTGGAGGTACTTCTAGGGGGATATCATGTCCCCCTCAGTCTTCTCTTCTCAAGGCTGAACATGCCCAATTCTCTCAGTCCCTCCTCACAGGGCAGTGTTTCCAAACCCTGGATCATTTTTGTTGCCCTCTGCTGGACCCTTTCTAATTTCCCTGCATCTTTCTTAAATCTTGGTGCCCAGAACTGGACACAGTATTCCAGATGAGGTCTGATTTTTTAAAATACTCCTCACTAGTCAGACCTCAAGAGGGCGTGAAACCAAACAGTTCATTCCGGGCTGGTTCTCCTGCTTCAGGCCCCCATGTCCTTAGGTAAGAAGATGCGTGCTGAGATACACTCAACCACAAAGCTGATTTCTTGCTGCCTCTTTTTGGTCTCTCCACAGTTACGGGTATCCCTACAAGGCCTCCAAGAGTGCCATCTCGGCCCCAGTCACTTCGGCTCCCCGCCCACGGATAGACTCTAACGCCAGCAGCGGTGGAAAATATGGCAAGAACGCTTACGTCTAAGGCTGTGTGAGAAGGGGGTGACTCCCCGCTTCCCCCCAAAAAGACATGTTTGGATGCTTCTCTTGCGGCCCGGAAGGGCCTTACAGAGATGGCAAGCTACTGGGGGGCTTTCTCATCTCGGTAACCCCACTCCTTGCTTCGGACATTCCTTGGACGGAGGCATCAAGCCCACATTCCTGAGTCTGACCCAGACAGAGGCTGCAAGTTATTTATTTGCTGAGGAGAGAGCTCATTCTCCCTCCCTCCCTCTCTCTATATATTCCCTTCTTTCTCTTCCGCATGGTTGCAACCAGCATGCCAGGCTCTGGCTGCCCCGTGGTCAAGAATAATTGATTTTGAACACGAAAGGTGTCTAGGCTCAGTCAAACCGCATCTTCTCCACCTGCCAGGCGCTCTCTCCAGTTCCGTGTGTGGCTTCATCACTGACTGGGGGAAGAAAAGTACTTTGGGAACAGGGTCAAGGGAGGGAATCGATTTGAACGTTGCTCTAATCCTGTGCTCGAGAGATAAGAACCTGCGATGATGCAACAGAGTGAGTGTGAGTGAGTGTGAGTGAGTGTGTGTGTATGTGTGTGTGTGTGTTTGCGCGATTGTGTGTGTGACAGAGAAATCTGAACTCAAATTTGCTTGCAAATATTTAAAATGTTATTTTCCTAATATAAGAATGGTTTTGTGGTGTTTGTTCTTGCCTCTACCCAAAGATCTCCAACTAAGGACATTGCTGGACCATGAAACTGGATGGAAGGACTTTCTGGAGAAAATAGATGACACTGTTTGGAGAGGGCTGATCCATGAACATTACTCGCCTTTTGAGTTTTTAAGGCAGGCATGGACTACAACTCCCACCATCCCTAACCTTTGGGCCTGGTGGGAATCCAGTATCATCTGGAGGGTCATAGGTTCCCTATTCTTGTCTTAAGAAATCACCAACAGCTTAGGTAGCTATCCAAGAAACTCTTTCTCCAGTGTGAATTTTGAAGGCAAGGCCCTTCCTTTTGAGTAGACGTATAGAGAATACACTGACAAGGCCTAGTTCTTTAACTACCCCGCTGCCCAAACTTACAATAGGGAAGGATAGTCTTATAGGGACTATCAAAAATATTACTAAATCTTGAGCAAG